ATGCCTGGTCAGTCTGCACCAGCGCATGCTGCCCTCAAAGTGGCTGGGGGGTCCTATACTCTCCCATAAGGGGAAACAACATGTCCACATCTACCTTGTTAAGTCCTCTAAGAATCCTGTCTGCTTCAATAAGGTCACGTCTCATTCTTCTATATTCTACAGTGAGCACAGGCTCAACCTACCTAACCTCTCCTCATAAGAGGGTCTCTCCATGCCAGGCATCTTCCTAACAAACATTCTCTGGGCTGCCTCCTATTCCAGTCTTATCTTGCTTTAAGTAACGGACCCAAAGCTGTCCACAGTATTTGTCTGACTTGTGCTGTATACAGTTTTAGCAAAACATTTCATACTTTTATTCTTCATTCCCTTTGAAATAAAGGTCAATGTTCATTTGCCTTCCCTACTACCCACTGAATTTAGCTAGCCTTTTGTGATCAACCAACATTTGGATAGTCATGGTCTGAGATTAAGGTTAGTCAGCATGGATTTGTGCGCGGAAAGTCACGTCTGACAAATCTTTTAAGAGTTTGGCAGCACAGTGACTCAGTGGTTAGCGGTGCTGCCTCACAGCGCCAGGGACCCGGGTTCAACTCCACCCTCGGGCGGCTGTCTGTGTGGAGTTTGCACATTCTCCCTATGTCTGCATGGGTTTCCTCCGGTTTCCTCCAAAGATGTGCAGGTTAGGTGGATTGGCCATGTTAAATTGCCCATAGTGTTCAGGGATGTGTAGCTTAGGTGGGTTATTGGGGGATGTGTCTGGGTGGGATGCTCCAAGGATAGGTGTGGACTTGTTGGGCCGAAGGACTGGTTTCCACGCTGTCAGGATTCTATGATAGTTTTTCAAAGAGGTAACTAATAGGATGGATGAGGGTAGGGCAGTGGATGTTGGCTGTAAGGACTTTAGTAAGGCCTTTGACAAGGTCCCGCATGGCTGGCTAGACATGGAAATTAGATCGCATAGGATCCAGGGAAAGCTAGCTAATTGGATTCAAAACTGGATCGATGGTAGGAAGCAGAGGGTGATGGTAGAAGGTTGTTTCTCAGACTGGAGGCCTGTGACGAGTGGTATGCCATAGGGGTCGGTGCTGGCACCTTTCTTATTTGTTATTTACATAAATGATCTGGATGTGAATGTGCAAGGCATGATTAGTAAGTTTGCCAATGATACAAAATTAGGAGGTATCATTGATAGCGAAGAAGGTTATCAAAAATTACAGAGGGATTGCGATCAGATGGGGAAGTAGGGTGAGGATTGACAATGCCATTCAATACAGATAAGCATGAGGTGTTGCACTTGGGAAAATCAAACCAAGGTAGGACTTATGCAGTAAATGGTAAGTTCCCAAGGAGTGTTGTGGAACGGAGAGACCTAGGAGTACAAGTAGATAGTTCGTTGAAAGCAGCATCACAGGTGGACAGGGTGGTGAAGAAGGCATTTAGCGTGCTGGCCTTCGTCAGTTGAGGCATTGAGTATAGGAATTGGGACACTTTGTTACAGTTGTATAAGTCATTGGTGAGGCCACACTTGGAGTATTGTGTGCAGTGTTGGTCACCCTGTTATAGGAAAAACAGAGTTAAACTGGAACGCGTGCAAAGAAGATTTACAAGAATGTTGCCAGGACTAGCAGGCTTGCGTAATAGGGAGAGGTTGACCACGATAGGACTTTATTTCCTGGAATGTAGGAGAATGAGGGGTGACCTTATTGAGGTGTATAAAATCATGCGGGGTATCGATAGGATGAATGCATAGTCTTTTTCCCCAGACATGGGGAATTGAAAACTAGAGGACATAGATTTAAGGTGAGAGCAGATAGATTTAAGGAGGACCTGAGGGACAACTTCTTCACAAAGAGAGTGGTGTGCATATTGAATGGACTGCTGGTGAAAGTGGTTGAGGCAGGTACAATAGCAACATTTAAAAAGCATTTGGATGGGTACATGGATGGGGAAGAGTTTAGAGGGCTAAGGACCAAATGTGGGCAAATGGAAATCTGCTGAATGAGCACCATGGACCAGTTTGGGCTGAAGGGCCTGTCTCCATGCTGTATTACTCTATGACTCTATGAGTAATGGACAAGGACTCCCAAATCCCTCTGTGCTGTAGCTGTCTGCAGTCTTTATCATAGATCATAGATCATAAAATCCCTACAGTGTGGAAACAGGCCATTCAGCCCAAGTCCATACCACCCCTCCGAACAGCATCCCACCCAGACCCTTTCCCCTAACTTTTCATGTCTAACCCACCTAACCTAAACATCCCTGGGCACTATGGGCAATTTAGCATGGCCACTTAAATAACATTCAGCTCCTCTATTCTTCATGTGCACTTTTGCAATCTCACTTTATATTCCATCTGCCGAAGATACGCTGTGTCATCCTCATCACTTGCCTTCCCACCTATTTATGACATTCGCAAGCTTGGCTACTGAACTTTCACTTTCATAAGTTATTAATAGATATTGTTAACAATTGTGGCCCCAGTACTGATCTCCGTGACTCCATGGAATGTGATCTAGATATCCGTTATGCACCAAACAGAGCCCAAACCATAAATGTGCGTACGTACCATGTGCGGCCTGGGCAAAGTAGATGAAGCTGCACGCTTGTTAGAAATAAAAGTACTACACAACTAAATTTTAGAGCACAACAGTTTTCAATTAATTTGCCTAAACTAGTGAGATCATCTGAAAGAGTGCAAATTGAACAAAGACAGTTCAGGGAAAGCAAAAGGTCTGAAATTTTGTTGTAAGCTTTCATCAAAGCACGTATCACCACTTAATGAAATCAATAAATGGCTGGTGTGGACTGGGGTTAAAAATAGACTCATCTGCGCTAGAATTCACAACCTTCTGACTCTACGTTTTTATAAGCGAAGTCTAACAATCTCTCACTTCAAAAATTACAAATCATTTCCAACACACTCAAAACTCAAATGTCAGAAATGCAGTCAACCAACAAATTTGTAGAATTCACTTGCTTGGGCTTGTTCAGATATTTAATGCTCACAATCAAAACCACTGCACAGTTCATTTAAAATCACTTAACAGTTTAATTTTGTTATCTGCCCAGTTCTGAGGCACAGATTCAGTTGCTCAAAGAAAAGCATCCAAGTGGTTAGATTGCTGACACCCCCAGGCAACTGGCAGATCGACACCAATTAGTTCACTCCTAACACTGTAACTGGCATAAAGTACAACAACCTTTCATCTTCATTGAATAGGTAATGAAAATTAAATGTCTTTGATCAAGTAAGTGTTTTTGATCCCGCCACACCCAGTGCCTCTTGAACTCGGGGAGAACTGATAGCTATAGGCAGAGAAAAAAAAAACACATTCTTGTAATTAGAAATGTCCATCATATAAGATAAATCACATTATTGTCCAACCTATTAAACATACATTGAAATTGTCAAAAATGTTATATATGCCTCACAAGCAACAGGAAAAATAAGTCACCACAGCTTAGTCTATAATGTCACATGCAAGTTCAGGCCACTGATTGAGGCTTCAAACAGAGGGGAACTGATCATCTCAATAAACAGTTAATTGTCACAGAATGGCCTTGCAGCTCACTTTGGTGAATGAATTAATCGTGACATTGTATTAAGATAGAATCATACAAATTGGACACCATTTGGTCCACCATGCCTGTCCCAGCTCTCAGTAAAAGCATATCAACTAGTTCTACTCTGCCACCTATTCCCCAAAGGCCTGCTAACATTTTCTCTAAAGATAATTATCCAGTTCCCCTTCTAAGCCACGACTGAATCTGCCTCCACTACTAACAGTGAATTCCAGATCCAGGCCATTTAATGCATTAAAGAAATCCTCAAATCACCTCGAGCTGTTTTTCCAATTACCTTAAATCTGTCCCCTTTGGTTGTAAACCCTTCCACTAATGGGATTAATTCTTGCCATCTACTCTGTCCAGAATTCTCATGATTTTAAAGCACCCGATCAAATTTCCTTTCAACCTTCTCTTCTACAGGACAGCCCAAACTTTATCAATCTATTCATTTGACTATTTTCTCAATTCTGGAAATATGTTCATAAATCTTCCCCATATTCTCTCCAACAGGCACACTTTTTTTTGCCCAATATGGGCGTTGTTGGCTGGCCAACATTTATTGACAATCCCTAATTTCCCTTGTGAAGGTGGCAATGAGCTGCCTTCTTGAACCAATGCAGTCCATCTGCTGTAGGTTGACCCACAATGCCTTTCGGGAGGGAATTCCAGGATTCTGATCCCGTGGCAGTAAAGGATTGGGAATATATTTCCAAGTCAGGATAGTGAGTGGCTTAGAGGGAAACTTGCAGGTGGTGCTGTTCCCATGTATCGGCTGCCCTTGTCCTTCTAGATGGAAGTGATCATGGGCTTGGAAGATGCTGTCTAAGAATTTTTGTTGAACTTCTGCAGCGTACCTCATAGATAGTACACACTGCAGCTACTGAGCGTTGGTGGAGAGAGTGGATGTTTATGGACCCGGCGCCAATCAAGCAAGTTGCTTTGTCCTGGATGGTGTCCCACTTCTTGTTGGGGCTACACTCATCAAGGGAAGTGGGGGGTATTCCATCACACTCCTGACTTGTGCGTTGTAGATGAACAGGCTTTGGGTACTCAAGAGGTCAGTTACTCGCCTCAGTGTTCCTTGCCTCTGAGCTGCTCTTGTAGCCACGGTGTTTATGTGGTGAGTCCAGTTGAGTTTCTGGTCAATGGTAACTCCATGGATGTTGATAGTGGGAGATTCAGTGATGGTAACGCCAGCTGAAGATGGTTGGGCCTAGGATGCAACCTTCATAAACTCGTGGCAGAAATGTCCTGGCGTTGAGATGACTGTCCTCCAACAACCACAACCATCTTGCTATGTGCCAGGTATGACTCTACCTGGAGAAACATTTGCCCCCCGATAGCCACTGACTCCAGTTTTGCTCGGGCTCTGTGATGCCATACTCCATCGAATGCAGCCTTGATGCCAAGGGCTGTCACTCTCACCTCACATTCTTCTTAAAGCGCGCCAAACCAGATTTAAATGCAATAGTCCAGTTGAGGCTGAAAATGAATTTTACAAATGTTCATCATAATTTCATGGCTTTTTAATAGAAGACCTGGCACAAGAGCAGAGGATTCCATATGCCTTATTAACCATTTTCTCGTCTTGTCATGTTCAACGATTTAGTGCATCTATTCCCAGATCCATCTGTTCCTGCAAATATTTTTAATTGCAATATTGTTTTCCTCATTCTTTCTATTGCTATAGAGATGCACTCATGTCCAGTATTAAGATCCAATTTTATCAGCCGTTGCCATTCCTTGAACTGTTTAAAATGCAGATTTTAACTTCAAAAGAAAGTTGACTGAAACTCAAAATTAATTTGCATCACTGTGTCACCATATGACATTTCTACAGAAACAACCCAACAATATGTGAAATGACTCTTCCCTACTAATCAAGCTGGAGGGTGGATCATTAAAGGAATTAATGGCTGGGATAAGAAAATTACTCACCTTGGCTTCTAAGAGAAATTGATCAACTTCTTTTTGGAACATCCAACTGACATGGAGATAAATCATGTGACTGCTGGATTTGAAGTTGCAGACAAAGATTGACACAGGACAGTCTTTTTGAATCTCTTTCTGGGAACCCTGTCTGGAACTTAGAAACTAGCCAGAAAATCTACCTTGTTGCAAACAAGATGTTAAAGTAACAGTTCAACCCAACAATAAATGAGTCCAGCAAAGGGATTTACCAGCCACTGCTGCAAAATAACTGCTTCAGTGAGAACTCAAATATCTGGACACAATCAGTGAATCTTTTCTTGACTTAATTTATTTGTAACTTCTTTAACTGTCCAAGTTTAAGCATCTAATACTTGGTGAAGTTCTTTGTTTCTACATGCTTGTTTGATTTTGTGCCTGCAATCATTACTGGGAATGAGAACATGTTTGTACATTTTTAACATTTAATATTTAAATAATACATGCCAGCCTAATTTCTTGTAAGACTGCATAAAATAGGGTACATACATAATTGGCAGTCCAACATCTTTTTAAATATTCAAAACTTGATGTGGTCAAATGAAGAATGGGAAAGGAATAAAATCAGCCTATTCATCCTCAACTAATCATAACAACACCAAAATGTATTAGGTCAGAGTTATCAGCATTAAATTTCATCTGTCATAAGTCAAACCAATTCACTGCCTGTTCATTGTTTCCTTCATGACAGTCAGCTGGTGAAGAAAGAAACTAGAGCTAGTTGTTACATGAAAGAGTGTCATTCCTAGAGTAAAACATTACAGCTATGTCTCAAGTCTTTTGTGTCAGTGAGTGCATCTTTATATCCTTTTGAGCAAACAATAATAAAATAAATAAAATTACTAAACAAGAGCCCCTTAAAGGAGTACGGTGACTAAAATACTGACTGAAGCAAAACTTCAACAGAAAATTACTCAATTAACGTGTAACTGATGCCTTATGTTTCTAATGATGTCAGAAGGCCTCAGGAATACAATGGAAATGTATCTTTTATCTATTTATTTTCAAATCAATCTATTAGAATGCATTATGACTCATCTCTGTGGTCATCACCTTCTGGGGTAATTGCTGAACCGAGTACCCCGGGTTTGGAGGTAGGTACACTATGTCACAAGAACCTTAACCAGATTAACAATGAAGATGTGATTTGAACCAAAATGCATCTGTAAAAAGAATATTTTTATCAAACCGTTCATACATACTAATGACATGATGGCAGGTGCGATTTGAACACAGACTTTGTGGCCCAGAGGTACAGACAGTACCCACTGCGTCACAAGATGTAAGTGTAATTTTATAAGTGCTCAACAAAACTGAGGTAAAGACATTACAAACAAAATAAGTCAAGAAAATATTCACTGGTTGTATCTGGATGTTTGGTTCTCACTGAAATTGTTTTGCAGTACTGGATGGTAAATAACTTTTCCTGGAGTCACTTTTGCTGAGTTGAACTGTTCCTTTATTAGCAACAAGATGGTTTTCTGCTCAGTTTCTCAGTTGCAGACAGGGTTCACTTATACGTGCCCTCCATGGATATGTACTTTGCTCAAGTAATCCACAGTTCTCACTTTTCTTCTTCTCGTACGCATATTTTCAAATATTTTTTCACATGATATTGGCTAACTGTATACAATACAATTTATTCTTGTCAGCAATGCCAATTGTCCTTCAAAAGGTGGTGAGCTCTTTTTTGAATGGCTACAATCCACGTCGTGCAGGTGTATCCACAGTGCTGTTAGGATGGAAGCTCCAGGATTGTAAGTAGTGACAGTGAAGGAATTAGATTTGAGATGGTGCATGGCTCTGAGGAGAACTTGCAAGTAGTGGTGTTCCCATGGATCTGCTATCTTTGACACAGAGTCATACAGCATGGAAACAGACCCTTCAGAAAGCTCATTCATGCCGACCAAGTTTCCCAAACTAAACTAGTCCCACTTGCCACTGTTTGGCCCATAACCCCTCTAAACCTTTCCTATTCATGTAATTGTCCAAACGTCTGTCCAATGTTGTAACTGTATCTTCCTCTGGTAGTTCATTCCACATACAAACGACCCTCTGTGTGAAAAAATTGTCCTTCAGGTCCCTTTTAAATCTAAATCCTCTCACCTTATAAACATGCCCTCTAGTTTTAAAACCCCTCCTTCCAGATGGTTAAGTACAAGTTTGGAAGGTAATGTCTCAGAAGCCTTAGGGTTTTGCTGCAGTTTAGATGATATACATACCTGTTACTGTGCATCACTAGGAGAGGAAGTGCATGCTTAAGGTGGCAGATTGGGTACCAACGAAGCAAACTGTTTTTCCCTTGATGATATTGAGCTCAAGTGCTGTTGGACTTGCAGTAATCCTTAGATTCCCAGCTTGTGACCAGCAGTAGACAACAGGCTTTGGGGAGTTAGGAGTTAGAATTCAATCATTCTGACCTGCTTTTATAGCCACCATCTTTATGTTACTAGTCCAGTTCAGTTATTGCAACCCCCAGGATAATACCAGTAGAAAATTCAGCAAAGGTAAGTGCTAATGAATATTAAGGGGAGATGGTTAGATTCTTTTGTGGGAGATGATCATGGTCAGGTACTTGTGCAGCAAGAATGTTTCTTCTCACTGGTCAGTCCAAATCAGTGTTGTTGTCCAGGTCTTGCTAAACATGGACATGGACTACTTCAGCATTTGAGGAGTTGCAGATGATGGTGAATATTGTGCAATAAAACATCTCACTTTTGACCTCACACTTGAAAAAAGGTTATGATGAAACTACTGAAGATATTTTGGTC